CTGTGTCTCTGCACGTGTAGTGAACATTTCCACAAAGACGCCGAACACAGTTGCGAGACGAAGACGTTACATGGCACACAGTCTCTCCCAAATATCTGAGTACGCATCTAATAATGCTATATAAGTATTTAGATCAATTTCACGAAATGTTTGAAATTCACTCGTTGTGAAATTGGGAAACTTAACATTTTTACAGTTAGTAAGGTGATTCATACAAGCACACTCAATAAAGACTTGTTAAATTTTAAAGATACGACAGCGATAAGGTTTGTTGCGCAAGTTCAGACACGCCCACGAATCGGCATTTAACTATCAATACTTTCAAACTTCTTTTATCAACTATAGATCGATAATTTTACCATCAATTATCTTATTGAAATAAATGTAAATAATTAAAATTTTATATTCATTTAAAAGTACTACTAAAATCTACATTCTATGTTAGATATCATTAAAGTTTGATTAACTTATTCCTCGAACGATAAGTTAAAATTAATATAATTTTGTTTCTGTAAAATCTTACTTATGTGTAAACTCGGAATGCTCCTGACTTGTATTTCTTGCATAAGTTCAGGCTAAAATTAGAACAATTTTCATGCTTCACTCGCTGACCACCTAGTCAACCCTATCAAGATGTATTATTCGCCGACTGACTGTCATTAATTTTTTATCTCGAAATATATATCGATTGATATAAAAGGATTTATGAGTTAAATTTCGTTTTCGATGTGTTTTATAGATTTCTATGTATTTTAGGGTTCGTGCTTTTTCTTGGTTTGTAGTATTTTTTTTATTTAAACTGCTGAAAGGTAGTATGCATATTCGCAGGGAAATGACGTAATTAGGAATTTCATCAAATCCCTAAGGGACGGGAGATGATGGAACAATTGACGGGAGATGTTAAAATAACGTCTCTACAATGTCATTTCCCTGATGAAAGTAAGGGATTTTATGAAATCCCTAAACTATTTCAGTGAAATGATGAAATGAACTAGTCAGGATTTTCATTGGCAAAATGTTATACAGGGGGAGGAGACACCTGGGGGGTCGATTCCTTGTACTTCCTAACTATACAGGTAGTACCTTTCGATCCTCTGAATATCAACCCCATATCTTTAAAAAAATGGCACCATAGGATTAACATAGGGATTGATATTTTACTGCTTAAGTAACCTAGAGGAAAGATGTTATACGTTAAAAAATACAAGCCCAATTTTCTAATTATTTGTTAATTAGTTCGGAATAAATAATTTGTATTTCAGGGATTATTGCTGAGGATTATTACTTACGTTCACGTTTAATAATGCGCCATATTTGTTAAATAAACACTTTTAAACTCTTGACAACATTATTTCACTGAAACAGCTCAGGAATTCGTTTAAATTTCTTACTTTAATCAGGGAAATGACCTTGAAGAGACGTTATTTTAACAGCTACCGTCAAGTAATCATATCCCTTAGGAATTTGATGATCCTAATTTCATAATTTTCCAGCGACCTATACAGTGGCACAACGAAGAATATTAGAGCAACCATGCAAAGTCAAGTTCTGAACCCCAAACCAGATCTTACAAAGGGGACGTATTTGGCGTCAGCCAGACTTTGGGAACCTTAAAATCTCCCTCCCCCGCGATGCGCCCCTGCTTGTACAGGTATGAATCGTCAGACATTCATTTTTAAACAAAGCTTGCGTAAAGCCTTACTAATCATCTAAATCAGGAAACAACCAGAAAAATCTACTAGAAAATAACCTGATTTCATTTTTTGGAAGATTTCAAAAATTTATTGGAGAGTAGCTGCGCGCGATCTGTGACTACAGTAACCGAGGGGTCATAAATTTTTGATCTTCGTTTTTGAGTCATCGGTTGGATTCTGGTGCCACTGAAGATCCCACCGTGTACGCTAAATGTATTAAAGCTGAAAGTGCTCGTGTTGGCATGGTATGGAGGGTGGAGGAGCAAGCTCACGTGCCATTCTAATCACTTGACCCAAGACCAAAATTTCGACATACCTCACCAATGGTCTTCGTGCTGCTTCAAAAGGCGGTATTTATAAAATTCAAAGCATTTGCATAATGCTTCAAAAGTGACTGTGCGGGAATCTTTGCCAGAAGTGTGGGGCTCGCGTCAGACTGACCATCTGACAAGAACTTCTGCTCCTGCTCCTCAGCGCACCAAGGTCACGAAAAATGAAAAGGGCATATTAGACCTTGGCCCTTCAATGGACTGTTTCGCCTCTGAGTTTAGGTTTGGTTTGTGAGGCTGTCTCGAGGGGGACTTAAAATTATTTTTAGGGGATTATAAGATTATTTGCTTCTACCAGAGTACAGATATTTTTATAAATAATGGCTGGATATTTGTTGAACACACGCTTCATGTTAAAGAATAATTTACCTTGTCTATGTAGAAATTCAGCTTCCATGAAGCCATAATCGTGAAAACTTGTGGTTTAGTGATCTCGAGAAGGAAAAAATGAATTCACAGTTTCTTCACGGACCACCATCCCCTTATAACTCAGAACTTATTATGCATCTTGGAGTGTAAAATTACGAAATGCGTTGTGCTGGCTCCTATATAATCGACATTGTGATTTCTCTCTGCAGTAAATGTTCTACTGTACTAAATTATTGCGTTATTAATCACGTAAATTCAAATTCTATTGAAATTTCGGAAAGGCTTAAAACGCTTGTTGAGGCATATGCCATGCAATACACGAATCAAATCACTATTTTAATTAATGATTTTCACTAAGACTTGCGTGCGGAATAATGGAAGTGCATACACGTTAATATGAACTGGGCCTCTAATTCGTCTTGAGTCAATAGGAATTAAGAGCATTAAGGGTCTACTCACTGGTCACTTGATGAAATTGGTCACACAATATTGTGTAGTTCCTTTACAACAGCCTCTGCATAGTTCCGAGAAGACGGTTATTAAAAAGCTTAATTAATCTGAGGAAATTAAGTCCTTTTGATGGTATTTTTTTATTTTGAACTAGCTGTTACCCACTTGTGTATCGCTAGGCATTTCATGAAAAAGTTTAACTCAGATTTTGTTTGAATTATTCCTATTGAAGTTGTACTCAAAAACCTTCTTTCAGCCCACACCTCTTACTTGAAAAAGGACAGGAATTGAACATCTAATATGAAAGCAGAATCAGAGCCCGATTTAACGAATTCAGTGCGACTGAACATTTTGTTCGTTAAATCGGGATTATTCGTTATATGGAGGTCCGAACAAAATACAAATATTTTACACTGACATTTTGAAAATTCTACAATAAGCAACAACACAAAAATATCCATATTTTGAAATTACGCACTTTTTATTCAACATCTAAAACTATGTTTTGTGACTTATTATGCACCAATTAATTGGAAATTTCAAAATAGTGACTAATATAGGTTCTACAATCTTTTGGATTCCTGACTCGAAAGAATTCGTTTTCGATTTATTGCTGAGAAGAAAATACTGCGTCATTTACATTCTGTGGCATGAGGTATTTTTTCACAGTTTCCGAACAATGTAAAGTAGTTGAAAATGCAACAGTTATAATAAGTGTTTTATTAGCAATTTCTGCATCAAAATTGCTATTTTCATTGGCTCTGTCAAATCAACATTTTCCTGAACTTCAGTTGCACAGGTAGTCAGTACATCATTAAATGTAATAGAATCGTTAAAAACTGAAAATGTACCATGCGTTGTGGAGTGGGATGAGATAAGTAAACATTTCCTGTCCTATTCAAAACTCACTTAATAGGTTGCATCCATGACTCGTGCGCACTGTAAAGTAAAAAATGATCTGCTCTCTTTCTGGTCGAAATTTGCTACTTTTAAGAAACATTCTTTTTCTGTTCGGGACAAAAAAGATATCATTTGGAAAAAAAAATCCAATTTTTTCTAATACAAGCTAATACATTTTTTTTTCAGGTTTGAGATAATTTGTTAAATCGGGGTTTATTATCCGTTAAATAGAGGGTTTTACATTCATTTTAATCGGGTAAAGAGGAAATGTTAAATAGCGAAATACGTTAAATAGGGGGTTCGACTGCATATTTTTATTTTACGTCATTGTGTAACCAACCCCCTTTGGAAGTTGATTTTCACAATACCGGTTCTTAACGGATCTGTATTTCAACCAAAGTTAAATGCTTGAAAAATTTTAATTCAGACTTGTCTAAACGTTCAATACACGTAAGTTTGAGCCTATAACTCCCTTTTCCCCGGTGACGATTTCTACAAAACCCGTTGATAGCGGATCTCTACTCAACAAAAAGAACACACGTCTCTGCAAAGTTTAAAATCAATACGTCTAATAATTAAAAAACAAGAAATTTTGTCAATAACAACCCTACAGCTCCCCTCACGCCCTGGAAGTCGGATTTGCTAAGAAGCCTTTTTTTGAACTTTTGTTGAAAGATGTCACGGAATCATTTTCTAAACGTGAAACGAGTTTTCACTATTGGATGCATATCACAGTATTTGGCAATACCACATAGAATCTTTGTTACATAAAGGATATTTTAGAAAAAAAAATCATTAAAAAAATTTGAAAAAATTTCTTTCGGTGAAAATAAGCTTATAACTCTTTTGAAGCATCAACGAAGCTCTCCGCAAAATTTTGTAACGATACACGATCAATGGTGTATATTTCCATAAGTCCTAAACAAATATACAAACATTGAAATTTAGATGTACTACATGTCTCATACATGACCGACGATTTGTCAATTAACAAGTAACATAAAAAAAATTAAACCAATTCCTACGTAGATGAACAAAGAAAATTTTATTTTAGTTATTTTTTGTTAAATAATTACAATTAATATAAATTTGTATATGCATATGACATAACCATAATATTAAGTGGCAAAATAGAAAGCGATTTTCCTTTCTATACAAGGTGTTGGACTATTTTTTATTTGTTTATTTTTTATTTTAATCATATTTAATTATTCCAAAAAATAGAAAAGTAAAAAAGAAATATTCTCTGAAATTAGACCATCCCAGGTGGGATTCGAACCCACGCACTTTGGAGTAGAAGTCCGACACGCTATCCATTGCGCTACAGGGACACAACGAACAACAGACTATTATTTTTGTGTATTACTATTTATTCATTAATTATACAATTATTAATGTGAATTAATATTTGGAAAAAAAAGCGTTTTAACATCACGCGTGTCATCCATTACATGTTTTAAAAAATTTGTTTGAACTTGAGTGGATGAAGTAAAATATTTTATTAGCAATTAAGAATTTGAACAAGATATATATATATATATATATATATATATATATATATATATATATATATATATATATATATAGGGAGTGCGTGAACTAATAGTAGGAATTGAAAAATGAACAGAAGATAATAGAAATGTACGTTTTGCTGCTTACTGCTTTGGTAAACAGGGAATTTATTAATGAGTTTTAAAATGAGTTACAAAGATTGTCGACAGATGGCGTTTCTCACTTGGAAAAATTATACAAAATGTTATATATTTGTATTCTTAGACACATGAGCGTCCTGGCTTGTGTTTCAAGATGGGTGTACTGTCTGAAATATGCTAGAATTCTGGGCGTGTCTGACGAAAAGGATAAAAAACATTTTTGTACAGTTTATCCTCAATCAGAAACGCCACCTGTTGACAAACTTTGTAACTATTTTTAAAATTCCATGAGAATAAATCCCCTAGTTACCAAAGCAGATTGCAGAAAATCGTTCATTTTATCGACTTCCGTTCTTTTTTAATTGGTTTTTCAAATCGTCGTTTATTTTTGGGACCTCTGGTAAGATAAACTTGAATTTAATTCATGAGCATCAAGATTTCGACTTTATGATTCGAATACAAATGAAGCATCACTCTTAAATTTTAAATCTTGTGATCGTAGAAAAAAATATTTTAAGCTTTCGCCCAGATGGAACTTTGAAAAAACTGTAAACTTATTAGGAATAATGTACTTCAAGGAAGTTTATGACTCCTATGTTAAATCAGCTGTAGAGAAGTGCTGTTGCGAGACTCGGCATTCTTGTGGTGTGATCCATTCCCCACGCTTCATTGGCCCATCCTCTTTTATTTGAGAGAGAGCATTTACTTTTGAGCTCTTGGGAGTAGCTGGTTGCTCAAGATAACGAGAGGAACGAAGAATAGCCATAACGATTACGTAGACGGAGTGGAGAAATAGCCGCTTCACACACCCTGCATCGACGATGGGTAAATTAAGTGAATTTGGGTGAACAGAATGAAGAAGTAAATTTCGGCTATGTGATGAGTTTTGTTGTTTTATGAAAGATATATTAAAGATATTTATAGTAATGAAGCTTCTCGATACTTTCTTTTAATAGATATTGACGTAGTTTTTGTTTTGATTTTTATTTAGAAAAGCTGCCATTTGGCGGATAAATGCAGTTTTATTCTTAAGGCTGTTTTCGCCATGTATACGACAATGTGGACTTACGCGGAGCGCATTTTTGAACAGAAAAAATGCCTCAATTTGTATAAAAATTTGTGACATTGTAACTCATGCATTTGTTCACAAGAGAGTGTTTTTAAAATTTTGAAATATTTCATGATCAGTTTTTCCTTTTCACATGTAAAAGGGTACACCATTTAGCATTGCGGTGTAGGGAAACACATTTCATAAAAGAAAAAAAATGTGTCCACACGGATAAAAATGAATAGTATGATAAAGAGTAAGGGGTTTTCTACAGGATAGTGAAGCCAGAATATAATATTAAAATGTTTGAGTATTTTTATATCTGAAAAAATATTCTAAATTTGGGTCATTTTCTTTAACATTAGCCGAAGAGACAGCCTTAAAGCGAAAATTATAAAATGTCTTAGGGATTATAGAACGTTATAGATATAGCTCAACTTTTGTTACAGGAAAGCATTTCCTTATGTGTTTTCAAACGATTCAGAAACAATAATCTTTTAGTAAAATACTAATTGGTTCGTTATAAAATATTTCTTGGTCGGGACGTATCTATTGATTTTGTCAAAGTCAATTTGCCGTACCCTGTATCAACAAACTCCTATGGTAAACGTATATACCGTATTTACTCACATTTAGTTTCTATTTTTCCAGTGTTAATGCTATTGAAAATTGGATGCGACTTAAGTGTGGAAAATTGAATTTCCACACTTTACTAAAGGAAAATTGTAGCTTTCCATTAGGGCCTCTTGCGTTGATGAGTTATCCCATTCCGCAGTTTATCTCTAGTATTCAGTCTATCCTAAGCATCGTTGTTTGCTCGTATTTAGGAATTTTTTTGTATGCGTTTTCTTTTAATCACCTAAACATCAAAGATATCTTTGTAATTGTATCAAGACGAGTTCTCTATACACATGCATTGAAAAGGAGGCAATTTTATATGCAGAAAAAAAAAAGAAAATAGAGCAGCGTTTACCGAAAATTTGACATGGGTGAGACAAATGTACGTCGATAGCTTTAACAAATGTTGTTGTAAATGTTCAACAGCCTTTAATAACTCTTTTACATTCTTCTATTGAAAATTCTTTTAAAAAATGTTACATAACAAATGCATTGGATGGCACAAAAGGCGGCCTCGTGTGGGAACATGACGACGCCGACACCAATTCCGAAGTTAGTCGTAACATTGGGAGTGACGAATCATTTTCGAAACATGATACTGACGGTTGAAGTAATTATAAGTTCATGTATGAATTTGAAAATCTTTAATATATATACTAGTAAACAGTGATGTAACGTACACTCCTGCATCGCGGAGGGATGGGAGAGGCAGGATTCTAGGATTCCCAAGCTTGACTGACGCCAAGTTGGGCTTGGAGTCCAAAACCTGATTTTGCAGGGTGCCCTAATATTCTTCGTTACGCCAAAAATGGTAAACTAAATTATTAACTTATTATTTCTAATTAAAATTTTCTTAATTATCGGATGTGGATGAACCTTTTACACCATTCTTTTTTTTTTTTTTTTTCAAAAACGTGCAGAGAGTTTTGGGTGCGGCTTAGACTCTAGTAAATACGGTACATAAAACCTATACATAATCTGACAACAAAAATAAATAAAATAACAGTTAAAATGTAGTCACACAATTAAAAATGATACTGAGTTTCCTGATGTAAATAGCCTAATATTTTTTTAAATTTCAAATGACCAGGGTTACAGAAAACTACTGCACCACAAGGGGGTAGAAACAAAAATAGACAAAATAAACAAAGTAAAAAAAGGCAAAGGAATAAAATAAAAATGGCGAGAAAAGTCTATGAACTCAATAAGTCCTTAGCTTGCCAATAAAGGTCGCACACAGAGGAGCCCTTTAGGGCTGGGCAGCGGCGAATGCGGTCAGAATTCATGTCCTCCCGAAAATCGCAGAGCGTGCAGAAAGTGGTCTGTGCAACATGAATTCTTTGTAGATGTTTCAGGAGACAGTCGTGTCCAGTGGTCAGAAGAAACATGGCCACTGCTTTTCGTCTTGGCCACATGGGAAGATATTTAAGATTTTTCCACCAGATCTTACTAGAATTTCTCTCAGCGTATTGTTTTGAAGAGGGATCATTCAACTTCTTAATGATACGATTGGCACTGGTAAAAGGGACAACTTTCCTTGTTAACTGTTGAGTGGTAACTTCCTTCTTTGCTGGGTGGTCCGCAAACTCATTACGAGTTAACAAATAGCCTAATATAAAATTCACAATATCTACTTTTCACCCATTGTACGACTATTTTTCTCCAGTATTGTTATGTTAAAATATTTTGGGATTGAGATTGATTTATAAAAAAAAGAGTTCATTTAGTTTATTACTTAAAATTAATCTGATTTTTAACATCATTTTTTTAGTGGGAAGTAGGTTTCCCACAGTCCTCTGGGAACTAATCAAATTAAGACATCTTATATTTTACATTTCTTTTTTTACATCGCAGTACATGATATATTTAAAATATAATTTGCAAATGCAGGTTTGGACAAATGAAAGAGGCCCGGACTAGTGGATGCGATGTGACGCGCGTATCAAGTGATCGAAAACGATTCAGATCTTAGAGCAGGCTGTGTTAGTAAAAGTTAATTTGTACCCAGGCGAAGATGGTACTCACAGTAAAGCAGAGGGTGCTCGTTGTGAAAAGTAAGGTAAAACAAATTCGTGGAAAGAGTGTGCTTGGCTGTTCTTTCATGAATTTAAATGTTAAAGTTCCAGCAAATAGTTTCATGCAACGACTATTCAAACAATAGCGCCAGACAGCATGTGTTTCAAACATGGCAAAACACATTCCGGAATGTATCCGAAGACCGAAAAATTTCAATGCAGTTAACCAGAAAATCTATCAGAGTTCAGTATGCAGTAGAACATTTCTGATGAGATAGCAGCAATTCCAGCAGTCCAGTTTCGGTCTGCCTTCTGCAATTTGCAGACCAGGGCCCAAAGGTGTCAAGAGACGAATGGTGTTCATTTTCAATATCTGCTGTAAGCAAGTTAGCGAATTATCTCATTTCCTTTGCAGTGGTGTGGTGCGGTAGTTAGGAGAGGGAGTGCCAGCTCAGGTGTCGTCCATGTCACTTGACCATGGTTCAAAATTACGTGGTCCATCGCCCAAAGCCCTCGTGTATCTGAATAGTGCGACGTTAATATTCACTCACTTGTCGTGTTTCATTGTAACCTGGAACTATGTTCTCCCGGGCCACTTTTATTTGCCCCATCCTGCACTAAAATCATCAGATGGAACTACAGCACCAACGGCAACGTCTATGTTTTTTGTCAGGTTGGCATATAGTCTCCATGTTTAGTCAATCGCAGGATATCTAAAACAGTTTTCTTGCTGCTCAGGAACAGGGACGTCTTAAGACTTCTTGTGGCCCTGGGCACCAACGCAAGAGTAGACCCTAGGCCCAGGGGCTTAACGGAGAAATTTTGAGCCCCCTGTACAGTGAGGGTTTGGGCCCCAATTTGTATTTTACAAAGAGGGTGGCAGTCAATCTTTGGGGCCCCTAGAACCTGTGCGCTTCCCCCCTCGTGATGCGGAGGTTTCGGGGGTACACGTTCGCCACTGACTGGGCCCCTACGCAAAAGTAGAACTCATCTAAGAC